AAAAGAAAAGAAAATCCTAAACAGTAAACATGACAACAGAAAAATGAAAGGGGTTGTAGACAATGCAATCTAAAGTGAAACGAATAAATCTCCAATGGTAGAAATTATTAGATTAAAAACAACCAGTTCTCGGTTCAAGATCCACCTAAACATGCATTGAACATGAACTAACCGTAACATTATTATATCTCGTTATTGTGGAATTATTGACCCTAGGAAACAGCAAGCTCTGTTACCTGAATTTTCCCTTAATTGTCACTACTCAAATAAGCTCTTCAACTAGATCCTAACCCTTGAACAACCTAGAATAAGCTCTCTAAGTTTAATTCAATGGCAACCTTAAGAATTAGGAAAATTGATCAATCCAAGCAACAATCATGCAAGATTGGATTATTTAACTTAGGTTATGTTATTCAAGGTGATAGATTGAGAACTTGTCCGTAATCATCTCGCATCATGTGTTACTCATTGAATAGAAATAGGACAATTACGTATCACAATTCCTAATTCTAACAGATAAAATTCCGATTAAACAATTTAGTAGGCCATTACTAAATCACCCAAACAAGAATCATAAACAATTAAAACAAAATAACATAAACAATTCCAATAAGAACGAGATTAAGAACAATATTATTGAAGTTAAGTTACACCAATGACATGAATTCAGGCTTCAAAATCCCCTTGAACTGAAGAAGAAAGATTAGCCACACATATTGACGTAGAAAGTAAAAAACTAAAAACAAACCTCCACTACTGTTCTCTCCCCGTTTAACCTAACAACTCATAAATAAATAATGTGTTTTTTCCTTAATTCTGCCCCATGAAAAACGAAAATTACTTTCCTAGACCTTTCCTAAACGATAGACTTCCAAAACTGTCAAATCCTTATCAAATATGGAAAACAAAATTCGTAATCCAGTTTGCACCAGGATTCTCACAATGTAAAAGAACTTTTCTGGGCTTCGTCACTTCATAAAAGTTGTAGTCCTGGATGTGTAGATGAATTTGGGCTTTTGAATCACTTGCTTTCGATATCTGAATCTCTAGTTAGGCCCATTCGAAGACTCAATACTCAGCCAGGAAATCCTTCCACGAATAGGATTCCAGGTCTGGTTTTGCAACAACTAATGAGGGCCCAAACAAACTCGAATTCTCGCCCATAATACCTTCCTGGAAGGCTTGATTCGTCTACTTTACTTTTTCTGAAGAATACTTTTGCAATCGAGAAATCTGACTCCATGAAAAATGCAGCACTGCTCAGAATAACAAAAAATCTGGAATTTCCTAATCTTTTCTCAATTATTTCATAAAGTCTATCCAAATATGCCAAACTTACAAAATAATCTTTAATCAACTCAACTAGGCATAAAACATAACAAAAACCATAATGTGGAAGGAATAAAAATATATAAATTACACTCTTATCAAATTCCCCCACACTTAGCTTTTGCACGTCCTCGGGCAAACTAATTCAAACACTAAAAAAAACTACACTCAAGTCATATCAAGAACACCATCATGATGCATAAACAACAATATTTAATCCATGCATATTCATACCTAACTTAGGAAGCAACAAAATAAAATAAAGTAGAGTTAAGGACATTCATCTCTCTTCGTCATTTTCCACAATTACTCTCAATCAGTTAATGCAAACAAGGAAACTAATCACAACCAATTCATGTACAACTCACCTCTCAACTTTACTACTACAAACTGGGTAGCAAACTAGAGATATATATATATATTTTTTTTTTCTGTTTTGAAAAAAATGAGTGCATTTTATGCTCCATCTCATTTCATGGTTGTGTTTATGAGTGAGTGCGTTTTACGCTCCATCTCGACCCATCACATACCTTTCTTTTTTTTTTTTCCTATTTACCTAAACCGAAATTTAGGACTAGCATAAGAGAAACAGTTTTTCTTTTTTTTTAAGGGTTGTTATACACTCCTCAATCATGCTTCGTCATCAAGTTCGCACAACTTATCAAGACATATTGTTTCAAAACTACAAAGTTCAAATCTAATTAACTCTATTTTATGAAATATTGCTAACACCCTAAGTCAAGGATTATGCTCAATAACAAAGTCAAGTTACTATTTCATGCATCACTAGACGTTCAAAGACATGACTTAAAGTATAAACCTTCCTAAAAACAAAAACCCCTTTTTTTTTTTTTTTTTTTTTTTAAAAAAAAAAAAACATAACATACACTAAAGCCTAACTTCTCCCCACACTTAAAACTACATTGTCCCCAATGTAAAACCCAAATGAGAGATAGGCAAATAAACAAATAAAACAACAACAAAAAAACTAAATTCGAAGGAAAAGAAAAACAAATATGAATTCTTGGGTTGCCTCCCAAGCAAGCCTTTGGTTAAAGTCGTTAGCTCGACTCTTTGTGTCGTCTTCACTACTCATGATCGACTCATCCAATCCCACCCCTCTATATTGCAAACTTGGAACCCTTCATAGTAAGGCTTAAGCCTATGTCCATTGACCTTAAACACCTTATTTGTTTTCAAACTTTGGATTTCTACTGCACCATGACGAAAAACATTAGTCACAATAAAAGGTCCCACCCAACGAGAACGTAACTTACCCAGAAATAACTTCAGCCTTGAATGAAAAAGAAGGACTCTCTGTCTAACAAAAAAATTCTTCCTAGAGATCATCTTGTCATGAAAGGCCTTAGTCTTTGCTTTGTAGATGTGTGAACTCTCGTAGGCATCATTCCTCAACTCCTCAAGTTCTTACAATTGCAACTTCCTATTAACGCCAACTTCCTTCATTTCCATATTGCAATGCTTGATTGCCCAATAGGCCTTGTGCTCTAATTCTACTGGAAGATGACACGACTTACCGAACACTAATCTATATGGGGACATGCCAATAGGTGTCTTATATGCTGTTATGTATGCCCATAATGCATCATCTAATCTCAAAGACCAATCCTTCCTGTTTGGGTTCACTGTCTTTTCCAAAATTGACTTGATCTCTCTATTTGACACCTCAGCTTGGCCATTGGTTTGTGGGTGGTATGATCTAGAGACCTTGTGTGTGACATGGTATTTCTTAAGCAATGCCTCCATTGTCCTTCTTATCACTTGGTTAGCACAATGCTTCCATAGATATGGATCGTCCCAGGCATAATACTTAGCATCACTCTTGATCTTGTCCTTTTGAGCTCTAGTCAAATCCTTTGGCAACATGTTGGTAACTAAAAAATTTACAATATCTACATACCATGGTGACGCCATTTCAATGGAAAACAAGTGCTCATCCGGAAATGTTTCTCTCAAAGGAAGCTCATCTTTGTCACAAACCAAACAGCTAAGGTAGTCTGCTACAACATTCTCTACTCCTTTTTTATCTTTAATCTCCAAATCAAATTCCTGGAGTAGAAGAATCCATCTAATTAGCCTTGGTTTTGCCTCCTTCTTTGTGAGCAAGCACCTAAGAACTGCATCATCAGAAAAGACAATGACTTTAGCACCCAACAAATATGACCGAAATTTTTCTAAAGCAAAAACAATAGATAAAAGTTATTTTTCAGTCGTAGAATAATTGAGCTGGCCACCATTCAAGGTCTTGGATGCATAATAAATGGCGTGACAAGCTCTGCCAACTCTTTGACCCAAGACAACACCTAATGCGTAGTTGCTTGCATCACACATAATTTCAAAAGGTAGATCCCAATTAGGTGGTTCTATCACCGGTGCTGTCGTCAACAATGTTTTCAACTTGTCAAATGCCTCCTTGCACTGCTCATCAAACTAAAAAGCCACATCTTTTTGTAACAATCTGCATAAGGGCAATGCGATTTTTGAAAAGTCCTTGATAAATCTCCGATAGAAACCTGCATGGCCAAGAAAAGATCGAACTTTCCGCAGACTGGTGGGGTAAGGTAAAGTTGTAACCAAATCTATCTTAGACTTATCAACCTCTATTCCCTTGGATGAAACAATATGCCCCAAAACTATACCTTGCTCTACCATAAAATGACATTTTTCCTAGCTAAGTATAAGGTTAGTTTCCATGCATCTGTCTAGAATTAGTGTAAGGTTATGTAAGCACTGATCAAATGAATCACCATAGACACTAAAATCATCCATAAAAACCTCTATAATTGACTCGACATATTCTGAAAAGATACTTACCATACATCGCTGAAATGTGGCTGGAGCATTGCAGAGACCAAATGGCATTCGACGATAGGCGAAAGTACCAAATGGACATGTGAATGTCGTCTTCTCTTGATCCTCCAGTGCTATGAAAATCTGGTTATACCCTGAAAATCCATCAAGAAAACAGTAATAAATATGACCAACTAACCTCTCAAGCATTTGATCAATAAAGGGAAATGGAAAATGATCTTTTCGAGTTGTTGAGTTCAACTTCCTGTAATCAATGCAAACACGCTAGCCTGTCTAAACATGTGTAGGGACCAACTCATTGTCTTGATTTTTCACAACTGTAACACCAGATTTCTTAGGGACCACTTGCATTGGACTTACCCACTTACCGTCTGAAATCGGATAAATTACCCCAGCATCTAAAAGCTTTAGGATTTCTTTTTTCACCACATCCATCATTGGGGTATTTAATCTACGTTGCGCTTCCCGTGTTGGTTTGGCACCTTCTTCAAGCAAAATTCAATGCATGCATATGGAAGGACTAATCCCCTTAATGTCAGCTATGGTCCAGCCAATTGCTTCCTTATGTTCCCACAACATTCGAATCAGTTTCTATTCTTGTTTGGGTGTTAACTTCTTCGACATAATTACCGGCAGTGTCTCATTTTCTCCCAAGTACACATACTTCAAATGGGCCGGTATGGCTTCAACTCTAGTGTAGGGGCTTACAAAACAGAAAGTAATAATTTATGGTGAGAATTAGACAGCTTTATAAAAGAAACTCCATACCTTTCTGGAATCAGTTTTAAAGAACGTAAAGTTGCCACTGTCTCCTTCAATTCTTCACTGAGCTCTATCTCTCATTTCTCCTCTGATTCCACATTTTTGGTAAGGGCAACCTCTAACTCATCTTCATTATTTAGCTCAATGATCTCTTGTGCTATGGAATCAACAAAATCAACAACATCAAAAGCAAAAATAGACTGAACATCAATTGGGTATTTCATGGCATCAAAAATATTAAAACGAATTACTTCACCATCAAATTCCATCGTGAGGGTACCATCATGAACATCTATATTTGTCCGAGCTGTATTTAGGAATGGTCTTCCCAGTAAGATAGATGCAGGGTCAGGAGAAAAAGAATCATCCATATCCAGAATATAGAAATCAGTAGGAAAGACTAACTCATTGACATGCACAAGAACATCTTTAACTACCCCTTCAGGGTATGCATTAGTGCGATCAACCAATTGGATAATAACACCAGTATCTTTCACAGGACCTAGATTTAATGAAGCATAAAAAGATCGCGGCATAACATTAATTGAAGCTCCTAAATCTATCATAGCTCTCTCAATTCTGGTGTTACCTATCTTACAAGGAATTGTAAACATACCTGGATCCTTGCACTTAGGAGGAAGTTTTCTTTGGAAAATTGCTGACACATTTTCTCCCATGATTATCTTCTCATCACCATTCAACTTCCGCTTATTGGTGCATAGCTCCTTAAGAAATTTTGCATACCTTGACACTTGCTTAATTGCATCCAATAGAGGTATATTCACTTCCACCTTGCGAAACATCTCCAAAATTTCTTTATCCTTCTCTTCTTTCTTTGACTTCGCGAATCTGCTAGGAAAAGGTAAGGTATTAGACTGAAGTTGAATTGAAGGGTTAGGAATTACCTTTGATTCAGTTGTAGCCTCTTCTTTCTCAATTTCATCTTCAATTTCTGCTTCCTTCGCTACACTTGGAATGTTTAGCTTTGGTTCTTCCATTTTCTTGCCACTTCGTAGCGTCACTGCATTCACATTTTCCTTTAGATTCACCACTATTTGAGAAGGCAACTTCCCTACAACTTGAGCCTCTAAACAACTTATAGCAGTTGCCATTTGACCCATCTGATTCTCCAAACTTTGAATACTAGATCTTGTATCTTGTTGAAGTTGTTTGGTATTCAAAGCAAAGGACTTAACTATATCTTCTAGGGATGAGTTTGAACTCTGTGATGCAGGTTGCTTCGGTTGAAAACCTTGTTGTTGTTATCTATTCTGGAAGAAATTTTGTCCAACTCCTACTTGTCTATTTCCTTCATAACTAAAATTCGGATGATCCCTCTAACCTGGATTGTACGTGTTGGAGTAAGGATCATACTGCCTTGGTGGTCCAGGAAATTTTCCTGCTGCATTAACCTGCACAGCCCCTTCCTCTTGAAGTGTTGGGCACATATCCGTTTGGTGTCCCATTGTCAAACATATCCCACAAGCTTTCCTGTTGTGCATTCCCTACAGCCAATTGTCTAACAAGAGAGGTAAGATCATATAGTTGTTGTTCAATGGAAGATGTACTTACCTCATTCACCCTTTTGGGTGATGCATCATGTCTTATACCAAACTGTTGGGAATTGGCAACCATGTTGGAGATTAAATGTTTGGCAGCTTCAGGATTTTTATCCACCAATGCGCCTCCACTTGCTGCATCTATCATGTTTCTTTCCATAGGCAGCAATCCTTCATAGAGATACTGAATTAACAATTGATCACTTATCTGGTGGTGAGGACAGCTTGAACATAGCTTCTTGAATCGCTCCCAATGTTCATACAATGTCTCTCCATTATATTGCCTTATACCACATATCTCTTTCCTAATGGTGGCAGCTCTGGATGCTAGGAAATATCTTTCTAAAAACAGCCTTTTCATCTCGTTCCATGTTGTGACTGTCCTCGATGGTAGATAATAGAGTCAATCCTTTGCATCATCCCCCAATTAAAAAGGGAAAGCTCATAACTTAATTGTAACGCCCACATGGAGGTACGTAATTTAATTTATGCTCTTATACCTTTAGTTGATTTTTGCTAAAGTTAATTTGAGAAAATGTGAAGAAAATGCCTTAAACTTGCATTAAGGGTAAAATAGTCTTTTCACTTAAAATTAGTTGAACTTGTGGGGAGTGAAAAGAGATAGAATTTCATGGAGAATGCAATAAAAATGAGGGCATTATGGTAATTGACTAAGGGACATAGATGAAATTTTAAAGAAAGTGCAAGGGCAAAATGGGAAACTAATATATAATTTTTATGTTATATCAAATTGAAGAGTGAAACCCTAGCCACTCTTACCCATTTGCACGCCACTTTCACCTCCATATTCTCTCAAATTCTTCAATTCTTCTTCAAAGGAAATTCAAAGGTTTTGGGTGTTTTTGAGTGGATTTTCAATCTTAAGCTTCTATAGGTAAGATCCTTGCACTAAGAAGTGAATTTTAGTTTTTAAAGTGTTGATTTTGATGGTTTATGCTCATAGGATTTAAGAGGAATAGAGTTTGATCAACAGAGATTCTTAAAGGGTTGAATTTGCTCATATCAAAGGTAAGTAAATCCTACCCTAAGTATGATTTAAGTTATGTTGTGTAGAGAACTTTCTTTATGCATATATATGTGTTATATGTAGAATTGTTGATGGATTTGATGTTGAATAATGATTAGAACCTATCCATGAGAAGTTGTGTCGGTGTAGTTGTTATTTGATGAATATTTGGATGAGATTTGTAAGAATTGAAGCGAAAATTTTGAAGTGTGTATTTTGGGCAGATTTGGTGTTAATTATGGAGGAGTTTATTCCAAATTTTTGGTGGCCTAAAATAGAGATAGAAGTGTAGCCAAATTAGTGTTGATTTGTGCACATGAATTGTTTGATGAAATGCCAAGGAGAAGTGCATGTATGATATGATTATGTGTTACTTTGGGATGTGTTTGTAGATGGTAGAGAATGACATGTTTGCATTCCATAATGCATAATTGCATTTAAATATGTGAATTTAGAAAAAATTATAAGCATGAAACCATCTACATGCATACATATTCATAAGAGCATGAAAATGCCCTAAAATATGTTAAAGAGAAAATACAAAGAAATGAGAATATTAAAGATATTCAAATCAGAATTTTTCTTAAAGAAGTGTAAAAAAAGATAAAAAGAAGAGAAGGTTGTTGCGATGGGGAGCCGTGAATGACATAGTCCCACATGCATGCCGCCTTTATTGAGCGGCCTTAGAATTCAGAAAGAAGAAATGTACAATCCGTTAGACGTGTGTGTGGCTGAGGACTGTACCCAAAATTAGAGAATTCACTCATACGGCCAAGGCTCCAAATCCATGCCTCAACCAAGTTTGATCGGCAAGAATAGAAAGAAAGAATAGAAAAGAAAGAAAAACAATAGAAAGAAAGACTAGAAAAGAAAGAAAGAAATAAAGAAACAGAAACAGAAAACATAATAAGAAAAATAGAAAAGAAAATGCATAATTTATGCATTTGTGCATTTGCATCATGAATATGCATAATACCATGCTCATTATCATGGGTAGTGAAAAATTTAGAGAACAGAAAGCAAAACAGAGAAAGAATAGAGAAAGAACAGAGAAAGAATAGAGAGAAGAATAGGGAAAGAATAGAGAATAATTAGGAAATGTGATGTAAAGAAAGAAAATTCAGAATTTTAAGCAACGGAGAGAGAGAAGGGTAGCATAGTGGGTTTACTTACTAAGCCATTAGTGCTCACTCCGTTGTTTTTAATGTTTTGCAGGTAATAGGTAAGTTGCGGTCGCTCGGAATGTCACATAGTGGAAGGGTCGGGCTACATTGTCAAGTTGCTATTTTTGAGAATATTTTGTAAATATTTGTATATAAAGAAAAATTAAATATGGGCCCATACTTTATTACTCGTATATATATGTGTATTTTCTTATATATATTTTTAATGAGTTTTAGTGATTATTTTACGAGTATACTAGCTAGAAAGAAAGCATTACATTAATCTGCTCCTCTGTCACCCCTGTCGGTTTCATGCTTAAACAGACTACGTGGAACTCTTTTAGATGTTTATTTGGATCTTCACCTACACGACCACGAAATGTAGGCAACAAGTGAATTAGCCCGGACTTAAGTTCAAAAGCAACATCTAAAGTAGGGTACTGAATACACAAAGGCTGCTGATTAAAATCAGGGGCAGCCAACTCCTTTAATGTTTTGCCAGCGGCCATCTCTTCTTCTATTTCTGAATCTAGATCACTGGATGAACTGTGGGATGCTGAACCAAGGGCTATATTGAGACCAGGAGATGAAGAATTTGCTTGACGTGCCTCTTTTCGCAACTTCTGTAAACTACGTTTGATTTTTGGATCAAATTCCAATGCTCCTATAGGATTGGATCGAGTCATAAACCAACTAAAATCACCAAATTAAGCCTAAATAAATAAAAACTAATAAAAAAAAGAAATAAATTATAAAATTTTTTTTATAGAAACTAAAATTGGCCAAAAACACTATTAAATGATCGAATTTGACGACGAGAGGGTAGGGCTAGAAATTAATTTCTAGTCTTGCTCAAAATTTCGTTTCCTTCGAAACAAGTACTCACAACACTCCTAATTCAACCAAAATTTCTCCTAAGAATAGTACTACTGTTCATTTTTTTTTTTTTTCAAGAACCTAAATATCACAATTGAACAAAATGAAAAACACAACTAAACACTAATTAAATGAAATAACAAAAGAACATAGAACATAAAACATAAAAAATCGACAAAGAACATTCCTCGGCAACGGCGCCAAAATTTGGTAGCGTGCCGAATGCTCCAAATTAATAACCTTACTACTAAATTGCATATAGGGTGAGCAAGGGTCGATCCCACAGGGAATGCTTCAATTAAATCCTATATTCTGACCAATAACCACAACGAAAACAACAGAAAAATAAAATAAAATAAAATCCTAAACAGTAAACATGACAACAGAAAAATGAAAGGGGTTGTAGACAATGCAATCTAAAGTGAAACGAATAAATCTCCAATGGTAGAAATTATTAGATTAAAAACAACCAGTTCTTGGTTCAAGATCCACCTAAACATGCATTGGACATGAACTAACCGTAACATTATTCTATCTCGTTATTGTGGAATTACTGACCTTAGAAAACATCAAGCTCTGTTACCCGAATTTTCCCTTAATTGTCACTACTCAAATAAGCTCTTCAACTAGATCTTAACCGTTGAACAACCTAGAATAAGCTCTCTAAGTTTAATTCAATGGCAGCCTTAAGAATCAGGAAAATTGATCAATCCAAGCAACAATCACACAAGATCGGATTATTTAACTTAGGTTATGTTATTCAAGGTGATAGATTGAGAACTTGTCCGTAATCATCTCTCATCATGTGTTACTCATTGAATAGAAGTAGGACAATTACGTATCACAATTCCTAATTCTAACAGATAAAATTTCGATTAAACAATTTAGCAGACCATTACTAAATCACCCAAACAAGAATCATAAACAATTAAAACAGAATAACATAAAAAATTCCAATAAGAACGAGATTAAGAACAATATTACTGAAGTTAAGTTACACCAATGACATGAATTTAGGCTTCAAAATCCCCTTGAACTGAAGAAGAAAGATCAACCGCACATATTGACGTAGAAAGTAAAAAACTAAAAACAAACCTCCACTGATGTTCTCTCCCCGTTTAACCTAACAACTCATAAATAAATAATGTGTTTTTTCCTTAATTTTGCCCCATGAAAAATGGAAATTACTTTCCTAGACCTTTCCTAAACGATAGACTTCCAAAACTGTCAAATCCTTATCAGATATGGAAAACAGAATTCGTAATCCAGTTTGCACCAGGATTCTCACAATGTAAAAGAACTTTTCTGGCTTTGTCACTTCATAAAATTTGTAGTCCTAGATGTGTAGATGAATTTGGGCTTTTGAATCACCTGTTTTCGATATCTGAAGCTCCAGTTAGGCCCATTCGAAGACTCAATACTCAGCCAGGAAATCATTCCGTGAATAGGATTCCAGGTCCGGTTTTGCAACAACTAATGAGGGCCCAAACGAACTCAGATTCTTGCCCATAATACCTTCCTGGAAGGCTTGATTCGTCTACTTTACTTTTTCTGAAGAACACTTTTGCAATCGAGAAATCTGACTCCATGGAAAACCTGAAAAATGCAGCATTGGTCAGAATAACAAAAAATCTGGAATTTCCTAATCTTTTCTCAATTATTTCATAAAGTCTATCCAAATATGTCAAACTTACAAAATAAACTCTAATCAACTCAACTAGGCATAAAACATAACAAAAAACATAATATGGAAGGAATAAAAATATATAAATTACACTCTTATCAATGATCACAAGGCAATAAATTCTCCAAGAACTCTACTTCTGTAGATTCAATTATAACATAAGTCTCCAAGTCTAATAATCTATAAGTCTTTCTATTTGTTGCATATCCAACAAAAGCACACTTAATAGCTCTGGGAGCTAATTTAGTCCTTTTAGGATCCATACTCTTGCAATAAGCAAGGCACCCCCACACTTTAAAATATCCAATGTTGGGCTTTTTACCGTCCCATAACTCATATGAAGAAATTTTATTCTTTTCCAAATAAATTCTATTGAGAATATGACATGTAGTAAGAATAGGTTCACCCCACAAACTAAAAGATAGTTTAACATTTAACAACATAACATTAATCATCTCAAGAAAAGTCCTATTTTTCCTTTCAGCAAAACCATTTTGTTGTGGTGTGTAAATGAGGCTGAGCATTGATGAATAATTCATTTTTCTTCCAAAAAAAAAAAAAAAAAAAAATCAGATAATTCATTTGAGAAATATTCTCCCCTTCTATCACTT